GTTGGGACAGAGACTGTTTGTCTGCTTGAAGGACTTTAGTTAACTAAACCTTAAGATTTATAACGGGCCCTCGGGCTAGCCGAACATGTACTGCGGAGACGCATCGACATCTGGCAATCATCTGACTCGAAGAATAGGGTCTGCGTGTGGCGAGCCACGGGACCGAAACCGTTGGAATGTTTACTGTCGCGTGTCGCCACGAATATTTCTTTTAAGTAGAGCTATAGAATTACTCCATACCTTTGTTAGACAAAGCGTTCATCCCGTGACCGCAACTACGTTCGGCGACTGACTGTCGCCTCGAGCCCATTATCACAACTCTCGAACAATTACAATCGGATTGAATAATTACAATTGTTCAATTACAGCTATAGTAGACTCTAGGTTACAATGTTGCGGGATTATCCAAAATTCCAAAGGCCCCGGTGTTCTTTCATCCCCGACATATATATATAGCAATAGAAAAATATTTCTATTTAAATTCGTATTTTTATAAATACAGGCTTCGACCGAAACGTATAGAGACACAAAGCGATATATTTTCTTCTCATTTTTTCGGAGAAAGAATCAGCTCATATCAGCTTGTACGTGTTATTCGGCCACACCCTATACAATCGAGGAAGCATTTAGATCCTAAGCAGAGATTCGTCTCGTCCCTTAAACATTATAACGAGGACTCTACTTTCCATAGTTCACATATCTTTCTATATTACGCAAGTATATCATCGTTACTATTAATTTAAGAAATATTATTAGATCAAGGATACTAATTTTGCGACCAGCCGTGAGAACAACTTCCTGAAGGAACTGTAAACTGAGAGACATGGAAAATTTACGCGACATTCCGGAAAAGCTAGGCGACCGATATTGTGCAGCGGTGGTGGCCCGCGTTACGATGAATCTTGAATATTAGATTCCGGAAATTTCCAAGTTTCGTCGTAAATTCGCCAGGGAAAGGGTGGGTAAGACGCTGGAAACTTCTCGACTCGACGAGCTTCGAAAGGAACCAGAATCTCTCAGCCCAGAGTTGAGACTGAGACTCCTGAGATCTGGCGGGGAAAACAGAATTCATTTGCAAATTATGACAAGCTTACCAACATTTCAACATTCAGAAAGCGTGGGAGAAGATCAGGAAAATGAGAAAACTGGATCTATTATATATTATATTATAACAGTCGTTCGAAAGTACTGGAAAGTAACTGGTCAACTCTGTTTTTTTAAATATTCTGAATTTTAATAGCAGAATATATAATTAGAGAAATTGAGATCAGTTTCATCAAAATGGAAACAATTTCTGATTCATATTGTGTTGGCAACTAACTAATTGCGGATTTGTCAATACCACCTAATGATAAAATCCGCAATCACTTAGTTGCCAACCCAACACATCGAATGATTCTTAAGCTTCGATCGACTCAATCAAAATGAAATAAATTTAATAGAATTCATATTCTACTTCGTGGTATTAAATATTTAACTAAATACGTGGTCATACGACTACCTGTAGAAACGAGAATCGGCTCTATTTTCTTGAACTTTCTGAATTTTAATACCAAAATATACACAGGGTGTGCCAGTTTTTTCCCGCCAAACATTGTCAGTATATTCTCTACGTCGAGATAAGAAAAAAGACGTGGTATAAACGTACATGTATCATTCGTATACATACAGAAGCATTGTTAAAAAATTAAAAAAAATAAAAAAAGGACGATATAGGAAATGAGCGGTACCGAACGTGTGTTACCGCGGTACAAAGTACAAACAAATCAGGAATATCTTACATCTAGTAATTGCCAGTAGGTGTTCACAATATTTCTACCACTCCAGTCACAAACAGTAATAAACGAGAACTTCAAAGACCAGTGAATTCAATTTTTTATCTTTGTAAATCTTGTTTTGACAGGTGGTGGTGAACATTTTGAGATGTAGTTAGAATTTCCAGCAATCGAAAACGACTGTCAGTGAAGTTGATCAGTTTGATCAAAATGGAATATAATTTCCGACTAACATCGGGTGAGATTCGTAACTCGGATAATTCTTAAATCGAGTTTTCACGAATTTCCCTAAAATAAAGTAAAACTTATCTGTATTTCTATAATTTACATTTAATAAGATTCATATTCTGTTTCGTAGTGACGAACTATCGGCCTAAACAAGTACTTAGTTACACAACTATTTTACTTGTACAACTTTACTATGCTTACTATTTACTATGCTTACTTTACTATTACTATGCTTAGTCATACGACTCTACAAGAACAGGTGACTTAATGGATGGAAAATTGTAAACAATCGTTAGACGAAGAAAGTGGAATTCGCGAGCATCGACCAGACCACCATATGCATATTTCAAGGGGCGCAAAATGGCTGACTAAAAATAGCACTGGAGTTAGCGTAACTTCAAGCTTTGCTGAATCTCGTATTCATCGCATAAAACGAGAGCCACTCTTTCCCTTTCCTTCGTCTTCATGAAATATGTAAACGTTAACTCTCTGTATGTACAGGCCGCTAACAAGACGAGAAGAAATAACGGTTCTACGTTTCTTCTTCCTCCTTCTTTCCTTTTTCTCCTATTTTTTTCTTCCTCCGCGTCTTTTTCCGCTCGCAAGTTCGTCTCTAATTCGTAATTACGTCGTCTGACGGAAGCTACGGCTAATGAGAACTGCCAGACTTATTTGCCAGCTTAATTTCGCGCAAGTGGAAGATTCTCTAATTTATGGAGAAATGTTTCATCTTCTGGTTTTGCAGAATTTTCAGAAAAAGAGTTCTCTCGAGAAATAACGATTTTTCCAATTTACGGACGAACTTTACTCGATTTGATTTTCTAGAATTTTCAGAAAAATTCAGGAGATTTCAGTCTCCTCGAGAAATAACGATTTTCCAATTTATGGATTTTCCAAATTTTCAGAATTCTTAAAAGGAATGATAAAACTCAAGCAGAAATGATTTGCTAAATTACCGAGCAATTTTTCATGCTGTAATTCTCAGAATTTATATCATCTACATCTACATCTGAGGTTACAAAAATACATTTTCCTTAATTGTTAGATTGTTCAGAACGTTCTCTATTTTCCAAGACCAATTTCTACAATCGTTCGACCTTCTCGATTTAAAAGATCAAAGTATCCAAGAAGATCAGAACGACTCTATTAAACTTTTGGAACGGAGCTTACAAAATAAACAAGTTATGTTTGTCCATTAAAAAATTATGACAAAAGCGCAACATATTTTTCTGATTTACTTTAACGGAATAATCTCTTGGATTATTTAATTTTCTCACTTTGGAGGATTAAAATTTCTAAGAAGATGAAGACGCTCCCGTTAAAGATCTAAAATCGAACGACACAAGACGAACAAATATCTTTCTCAATTAAAAAACTATGACAAAAATGCAACATGGTGTTCTAATTTACCTTAACGGAATAATCTCTTGGATTATTTAATTTTCTCACTTTGGAGGATTAAAATTTCTAAGAAGATGAAGACGCTCTTGTTAAAGTTCTAAAATCGAACGACACAAGACGAACAAATATCTCTCTCAATTAAAAAACTATGACAAAAATGCAACATGGTGTTCTAATTTACCTTAACGGATTAATCTCTTGGATTATTTAATTTTCTCAATTTGAAGGGTTATAATTTCTTAGAAGACGAGGATAACCCTATTAAACGTCTCCAGAGACGCATTAAAGATTCCGAGACCAACAACGATAGTACATCGTCTAATTCAAGAAGCATGACGCTAATTACAGTGAACGAGACTGAAAAGTTGGAAGAAGCTCCGCAGGACCAACATCGTTAGAAGTCCTTGTTCAACCCGTAGAATAACCGGTTTGAATGAGAGTTTGAGGAACAACGTCCTCGCGGACGCGTTTCACCGAGCGTTCT